GTACCATAAGGAAACAAAGAGGACGGCCTGTTGGAATGTGTGGGGCAAGCGTGTTCGCGACAAAGCCCCACTGAGTTCAATGGATTTGCTCCTTATTTCATGGGGGCTCACAAAGCAAAAGGGCAATGGAAGGATAACAACAACATAAGAATGATCATAATATGAATGAGACCTAAGACAGCTGTCGGGCAGCCTAAATTCATATTTGTAAGACCAGTCCTCAGGCTGCAAGCAGCTAAAAAAAGGAAAGGACAAAACCCCTCAGTAAGAAGCCTGAAAATCCTTTTCCTCTCCTTGAGCCAGGAGGAAGGAAAAAACCTTTTTTTGAAAAGGAAAACAACTTGTGGTATCGAACACCCCTTCTGATGAAGGCATTTTGCCGTTTACAGAAATAAAGACTCAAAACCCTCGCTCCCTTTGCCGCCGTGCCTCCCCCTCCCAATCTTTGCACCCGTCTTCCTTGCTTGGAGATTCACTTCCTGATTGAGAGCCGGCTTCTCCATCACTACAACTCCTGATCAACAAAAATGATCTATTTGTCTCGTGGGCTCCCCCCCCCCTTCCCAGCATCTTTTGGGATGCTCCGCACCTGTCTCCCCACCTCCACCTTGGCCGGTAGCAAGAACTGGCGTCTTGCCAGGTCTTGGGGTTGCCATGGAAACAGGGAAGCTGGCGGAGCCTGCCAAAAGGGGCTGTGGCTTCTGACCTCTCCACTTGGTGGGATGGCTAATCCCGAAGAAGACGGAGTCAGGATTCAGAGTGATCTAGATAGGCTGGAACAGTGGGCGGAGACAAATAAAATGAATTTCAATAGAAGTGCAAAGTCGTAAGACTTAGGTACAAAAAACCAAAGGCACAGATATAGAATGGGAGGGACATGGCTTGACAGCAGCACATGTGAAAGGGACCTGGGTGTTCTGGTTGATCACAAGCTAAACATGAGCCTGCAGTGCGATGTGGCTGCGAGGAAAGCTAATGCAGTCTTAGGATGCATTCACAGAAGCATTGTGTGGAGATCACGGGAGGTGGTCGTTCCGCTCTGTTCTGCTATGGTCAGGCCTCACCTGGAGTCCTGTGTCCAGTTTGGGGCACCACATTTTAGGAAGGATGTTGACAAGCTGGAGCGTGTCCAGAAGAGGGCAACCAGGATGGTGAGAGGGTTGGAATCCAAGTCTTAGGAGGAAAGGCTGAAAGAGTTGGGTATGTGTAGCCTGGGAAAGAGAAGACTTAGAGGGGACACGATTGCAGTCTTCAAGTATTTGAAGGGCTGTCATGTAGAAGATGGAGCAGATCTCTTCTCTCTTGCTCCGGATTGCAAGACTAGATTGAATGGGTGGAAACTACAAGGGAGTCGTTACCGGCTAAATATCAGGAGAAACTTCCTGACTGTAAGAGTGGTTGAGCAGTGGAACAGTCTGCCTCTGGAGATGGTGGGTGCTCCTTCGCTGGACATTTTCAAGCGGAGGCTGGACGACCCTCTTTCGGGTATGATGTAGGTATGTAGGGCTATCTTTCGGCTATGCTCCTGCAGAGTGCAGGGGGTTGGACTGGATGACCTGCAAGGTCCCTTCCAACTCTAACATTCTATGATTCTATGATTGTACGGATTCAAATGTAATGGGGTGGGGGATTACAGGACCTCCCCCTTCCTTTGCATCCATCCTGGTCTGAATTTCCCAGAAAGGGGGAGGGGGGAAGGAAAGAGCAGGCAGACTTCTGCAAGCATTTGCTTCTTCCCATGCAGAGATTGTGTTGGCCGGGTTGGGATTCAACTGCTTTGAGACTCGGAAACAGCTTACCGTGGAGTTTTCTTTTGGGGGGCAGAATGGCAAAAGCTTTCCTGGGGGCTGTGCCCCTCACATCGGAGTGGAGAGGTCTCTTCCATTTTTGTGGCCTTCTTGGGGGGAGGCGCTCCCTGCCCACAGAAAACTAGCTGGCCTTTTGGGAGCAGCTTGTCGTTGGGTTTCCCTCGCTGTGTTGTTTTATTCCACGGAGGGGGCCATGGCTGCCAAACGTGTCGCTTCCCCTTGTCTGCAGACAGGCGTGGCCCAGCCTGGGGTACACGTCAGCCCTCGGTTCTGCTGATTTGTCTAAACTGGATCTTAAAACGAATCCCAGTGCTGGAGAGCGCTGAGAACAGGCAAGGTTGGTTGCTCACTTGTCTATATGAAAGGCCTTGAAGTAGAGTTTCTCAAATGCTTTTAAAGGCCTATAAGACGGAGCTCTTCCATCAGGCGTTTGAGTAGGAGCCGCCACAACTGTTACCATCTGCCCACGACTATTACTATCTGTCCTAGCCCTTTATTACCAACTCGCCGTGAGCGCTAAAATGGTGGTACTGCGTGGAGCTGTGGCCACTAAGGATACCATCCTGATGACGTCACCTGCTCCTTTGTTAGTTATTGTGGAGAGCACTTATGTTGTACTGAATGTTTTTAAAATGCAGTTTTAATTTTTTATGGATTGGGCATTGGCCCCATCTGTACGCCGCCCGTCCGCCCGTCCGTGGGGAGGGCGGGTTATAAATTTAAATAAATAAATTTATGGGGTATTTAAATAGCATGATTTTTTTAAAACACTGGGGCTGAGGAACATACTTTTTTGTAACAGAACAAAGTCTGTGTCCGGAGGGGCACCATTAAGATCAGCAGGATTTAATTCTGGGCATCCACTGTGTGCACGCGGAAGCTTATGCTCAGGATTCAGCTTGGATGGCCTTCAAGGTGCCTGACTGGACTCAGTTTTCTGCTGCTTCAGACCAACCAGCTTTCTTTCCCCTTCTTGCTCCAAGCGCCACTAGACTGAGATGCAGAACTCGGGTTGCCAGCTCCAGGTTGGGGAATCCCTGGAGGGATTTGGAAGTGGGGAGGGCAGAGGAGCCCACCCCTCGAGGTTGCTGTTTTCTCCAGGGGAATTGCTCTCTGTAGCGTGGAGATCGCTTATCATTCCAGGGAGGTCTCCAGGCCTCACCTGGAGGTTGGCAACTGCAGTCCTCCAGAGAGATCCCCTTTGCCTAGGAAGCTACGTGTGTGCGTGCCTGTGAGTTAGATGATTTGGCTCCTGTGAGGAGTTGGGAACACAGTGGGGCTTCAGGTCTCCAATGGTCCCATCCTGTTTTCCTTCTCCGGCCAGCTATAAAAGGGATGGGGGGGGGATGGTAGGAAGAAGGGGGGTGTCATGCTATGTCCCCTGCCCCCATTACTTTCCTGGCTTTTGCCATTCCAAAACACAAATAGCTGTTGCCAAAACTCCCCCCCCCTTAAGTCCTGGAAGTGTACTTCTGCTCTCCCTGCCCCCTCCCTGCCCCCCCCCCCAAGCTGGTGGTCAGGCCAGTCTTCTCCTCTCTGACTGGGGAGGGGGGAGGGAGGGTCTCTTTGCAATCAAAGGGGTTGCTGCCGAGGAAGAAACAGCCAAGCCAGCCTACTTGGCACCACTCTGAGAAATGGTCTGTGAGCCGGCAGGCCCGAGGAGTCCACTTTCCCCCACGAACTGGAGCCTGCTGGTTTCTTTCCTGTCGGAGGATGTGCAGCACTGGAGTTAGAGGGGTCCAAGCTTTGGACTCAATGAATATGAAATTTGAAGCAAAGGATGTCTAGGCATGCCCAGAAGTGCCTGCTGAGGAAGTTAATGTAGAGTGTGTGCAGGCAAGCCAGCCACAGATTGTGTGTGCAAAGCTTGGGCTTACGTGTTGTGTTTACATGTGCAGAAAATTTCAAAGTGTGCATTCAGGCATTGGGTGCAAATGTGCCCCCAAAGGTAACAGTTGTAAAAGAAGTATCTGAAGGAGTGCGTGCACACGATTGTTGATACCCAGAATAAACCTTTGTTGGTCTTAGAGGTGCCACTCTGGACTCAGACTTTGTTCAGTTGTAAAGGCAGGCTGTGTGTGTGTCCGTGCATGCTGAGGCTGTCGTGTACATGCTGAACTACTGTTTGTACAGGCAATGCTCCCTCTAAGCTGTGGAATCCTGTGAGCAAAAATTCTACTTTGTGAGCTACTGGCATTAAAGTTGTGAGCGAGCAGTTTGGCTACTGCATAAGTTAGTTTGCTTTGGAGCTAGCTCACACTAACTCAGCAGAGAGGGAACACTGTGTACAGGGTTTGTGAGTTAGGTAATGTACCTGTGAATGTGCAGAAAGGACCAGATAGGCTGACACTGTTTGCAGATACCCAGCTACTGTTTGCAGATACCCAGGTGACTCTAAGGCTGGGTCTCTACAGGTTAAGCTTTGTGGAAATGTTAGATCAGTGATTGCTAAGCAATCGTGTGCATGCACACTCCTTCAGATACTTCTTTTACAACTGTTACCTTTGGGGGCACATTTGCACCAAATGCCTGAATGCACGCTTTGAATTTTTCCTCTTTGTGTTACAATCTCCCTAAATAATTGTGGCCCATGTGAAGTAAAGAATCAGGATTCAGGCAAGTGGGGGTGGATTTTGCAAGCCCAGTGCAACCAGGTATAATGTTCAGAATGCCCAGCAGAACCCAGTGCCACTGGCACTGCAAGCTTAAAAGTACTGATCTCAAAGCACAGAGTCTCAAATCCAAGCAAGGGGGTGGGATTTTCAATGCTCTGTACAAGAAAATGGGACAAAGGAACACCAGCAACTGACATGACTAGTTTGAAGCCGGACAGGAGTGTTTCCAAGGCTGGAGAGTTCTGCCTCCCCCCTTTAGGTTTGGTAAACATTTTGTTTGAGCAGAGACACTCTGTCTGGAAATGCAGCCATTCACCAACCAGCAGGAACCTCCTTTAACTACTTGAAAGTTCATGTAAAGTTTGTGCTGGTTGACCTGCCACGAACTTTAGTTCCTGAGTCACTTTGTGCCCATCCCTAGATTTTACTTATCGTTGCTGGATAGGAAAGCTCCCCAGGTGCATGGCCGCTACGTGGGGACAATCTGCGGTGGTCTTCTGGTCTAGTCTGGAAATCTTGGCTGCCTGTGTAGAGTGAATGGTGCTATGTCTCTGTTTTGTTTTGGTTTCCAGAGAGGATCTGCCGAGCACTGTGATCTCCAAAATGCACAGGACCACCAGGATAAAAATCACAGAGCTGAACCCCCACTTGATGTGCGCCTTGTGTGGAGGCTACTTCATAGATGCCACGACCATCGTGGAGTGCTTACACTCTTGTAAGTTTCCAGCCGCATGGCAGAAGGCTCTGGAATTAATCTGGGACCCATTTCGCCTCTGGGCTCTTTTCAGTAGTGGAGGTGGCTTGTAGTACATACGAAGCAATCATGGAAGAGGCATGCCTTCGAGCATACAAAGAGTGCATTCCCCTCACTGTTGAACTCTCAAGGGGCCGTGGTGCCTGGTCACCACAGTGGGAAATCCAATGGTACCTCTCCAGAAAGGAAAAGAAATATGTCAAGGAATAGACGGTTCATTTATTTACCCTGTTGTGTTAATGTTTGAGGAAGTCCACATCATCATAAAGCAATTAAAAACATAAACCTCAAGCCAGCCATCACAACAGTGAAGGATGGTAGCAGACAAAATTGTGCTGACTGCTAAAATGCCCACATTTTTTTGGGGGGGGGGGAATAAGAGGTGCTGTTCATAATGGACTGTTCTGTCCTGAAATAAGAAGCGTTAAGCCTGGGGCATAAAGTTGGTCAGCAGTGGAGTTGGGCAAAGGGAGGAGGCAAGAGGATTCCAAAGAACTTGGGGCCACCACTTGAGGAGGCCCTGGCCATTCGCCTTGCTCCTAAACAGGGTGGGCGTGGGGACCATGAAGAAGAGAAGATACTGGATTTATACCCTGCCCCTCACTCAGAGCGGCTTACAAACTCCTTTCCCTCCCCCTCCCCACAACAGACACCCTGTGAGTTTGGTGGGGCTGAGAGAGCTCTTTCGAGAACTGCTCTGACAGAACTATGGCTTGCCCAAGGTCATCCAACAGCTGCAAGTGGATGAGTGGGGAATCAAACCCGGTTCTCCCAGACTAGAGTCCGCGCACTTAACCACGACACCAAGCAGGACTTGTGAGAAAAAATGTAATGGGTGGACTTTGTTGCTTTGGGAGGACACCCTAAAACCTGTGGGCTGAGTTGGCTACCGGGGGGGGGGGGTTTACTGCTCCTCTCCCCCTGCCCCCAATGTTGTGTCATGCAGGTCTCTGAGCTGCCGAACAGCAGCTCATGAAATAAAAGAGGGTGCCGTATTTTCACCTTCAATGCCTTATTTCCTCCCTTTTAGTGCTGTGATTTGCTTGGCAGCCCCTGGAACCCAGAAGACCCCATGGGGTGGGGGGTGGGGAGGGGCAGCCCCAGCCAAATTGCTGCCAGGAGACCTGTGTGGGCCTCATCCTGCCGGGCAGGCGGAGGGTCGCTGTGGCCCTCTCCAAGGCTTTGGCCCTGGCAGAGTTGAGGCAGGCGGCCGCTGAGGCTCTTTGCCTCTGTGCTCAGGGGCCCTGCCCTTGGCCTTAGGGGAGACAGGCTCGAATGAGCAGCTGGTGTGGGTCCTGGTCACAGAGCTGAGTGCTGACTTTCTCTCTCCCTCCCTCCCCCCTTTTCTCCGTCCAGTCTGTAAAACTTGCATCGTCCGGTACCTGGAGACCAACAAATACTGCCCGATGTGTGACGTTCAAGTGCACAAAACGAGGCCCCTCCTAAGCATCAGGTATTTTGCACCGACCCCTGCCTTGACACAATGATACCGGGATGGCCAGGGGAATGTTATGGGGGGGGGAACACATGATGGCAGCTCTGGAGCTTGCCGTGCGGAGCCTGCGGATGTGTGTGGAGAGGCGACCTGCAGCCTCAGGGCACGCCAGGGTTCCCGGCGCTCTGCTGCTCTCTGGGCTTTCTTGGCAGCGGTGTGGGAGGGGCTGGGGGTGTTCTTCTTCTAAGCCACAGAGGCCTTCTGACCTGTTCTCCATTGTGGGCTGCCTGGCTGGATCAGGCAGGGAAAAGGCAATGGCTTCGCTCCCTGTTTCCAGCACTAGCTAGCGAGATGCTCCAATGTCAGGCACAGAAGAGAGGCTCTTGGGCGGGGTGGGGGGGGGCGGCTTTCTCAAAGGGAGGCGGCCTCTGGGCAGGGATCTTCTCCTGTTTTTCTCTCAAGGCCATTAGCAACTGGGAGATACGATTCGTGATCCCCGCACAGGAACCTCCTCCTGATGGGGAAAACTTACATTGCGACAGCCAGAAGTTGTAACTTCTCACGTTCTGTTTGGGTCAGACACCTGATTTGTAAATGGGAGGCCCTGGGGCACATTCCGCCTGAAATCCGCCCTCCTCCCAGCAATGTTCCCTCTAAGCTATGGAGCTCTGTGAGCAAAAATTCTACTCTGTGAGCTACTGGCATTAACGTGAGCAGGAGATTTGGCTGCTGCATAAATTAGTTTGCTCTGGAGCCATCCTTCCTGAGCTAAGACAAAAATGTATGAGCCAGAGGCTAAAAACCTGTGAGCTGGCTCACACTAACTCAGCTTAGAGGGAACACTGCCTCCCAGTCCCAAGTGAGTGCGGATGGTTAGCTGGGGTCAGTGTTCCCTCTAAGCTGTGGAATCTTGTGAGCAGAAATTATACTTTGTGAGCTGCTGGCATTAAAGTTATGAGCAAGCGATTTGGCCACTGCATACATTAGTTTGCTCTGGAGCCCCATCCTCCCTGAGCTAAGACAAAAATGTGTGAGCCAGAGGTTAAAAACCTGTGAGCTGGCTCACACTAACTCAGCTTAGGGGGAACACTGGCTGGGGTCCCCTTGAGGCGTGAGGGAGGCATTTTTTCCCCAGTGGATCCAAAATGAGCACCAATATTAAAGGCCAAACCCTAGCAAGCCTTGCCTCAAAAGAAGCCGGGACAACAACACACACCCGTCAAAAACAGGCAGAGGATTCTCACACCTCAAGGCAGAGGATTCTCATCTCTCTCCACACTTCCTTTGACTTGCTGTAGCACTGATACACAGCTGGGTCTGTGCAAGAGCAGGACTCGGATCTGCAGCCCTGCTTGTGCCGTGAAGGTTCTTCCAGTGGGTGGGGGGCAGCATTGATGCAACACGGGGGTGGGTGGGGAATGCCTTGCCCCCTGTAAGTAAAGCCCCTGTAAGTAAGTCTCAATTAAAGAGTGCTGTGAATGCCCAGCTGGAGTCTCTAGAGCAGTCACTGGACCACAGACCAGCAGCCCTTGAAGAGACCATGAGAACAATTTCACTGGGGTATGGCTGTGGTTTATGGGGCAGTGATCCGTTGGCCTCAGAACGTTTGCATGAAACCTGCCCACCTACAGCATGCTGATGGCTAATACTTAGGAAATCAGAATTCCATCCAGAAAAGCCCCGTTCTCCAGCCTGAATAAGAAACTATTAAGAATTTTCATATGTGCCCACCAATGCTCCCTCTACAGGAAAGGGCAGAACACACAAAAATGGCAGCTAGCTGACACCTTGAAGAAACCATGAGAACAATTTCATCGGGGTGTGGCCATGGTTTATGGGGCCGTGATCTGTTGGCCTCAGAACGTTTGCATGAACCTGCCCGCCCTACAGCGTGCTGATGGCTAATACTTAGGAAATCAGAATTCCATCCAGAAAAGCCCCGTTCTCCAGCCTGAATAAGAAACTATTAAGAATTTTCATATGTGCCCACCAATGCTCCCTCTAAGCTGTGGAGTCTTGTGAGCGACTGGCATTAAAGTTGTGAGCGAGTGATTTGGCTACTCCATAAATTAGTTCGCTCTGGAGCCCTCCTTCCTGAGCGAAGACAAAAACCTGTGAGCAGGAGGCTAAGAAATTATGAGCTAGCTCACACTCACTCAGCTTAGAGGGAACACCCTTACTCATTTTGGGTAATTCATTCCGTTTTTGCCAGTCACGGGGAAGGGCAGTGAACTATGTAGAAACTGACTTCCTCCCACAACTGTGGGAAGACGCCTCCCCCCCCCCCCCCCCCCCCCACCCGCACAGTTTTTTTTCGACTTCAGGTTTCCTGGTGCATCCGGAAGGGCTTGAAACGCGAGGGGCTCAGAGGGTGGAGTTCCCCTGGGGGGGGGGGGATTCAGACCATGGAGCCACCCTTCTCTCGCTCCCCCTCCCCAGAAGAGCACCTGTCAGTGGAGGCTGCCGACAGCTCCTCCCCCTTTGTGGCTCTCCCTGCCTGGGATGGGGCTTCTCCTGCTTCCTTCTGCAGGCACAGTAGGGAAGGCCAGCCCGCTCTGCTTTCCCCTGGGCTTTGAAGCCGGCATCTTACCCACTTCCCCATTTGTCTGGATTTTGGGGGAAGCCAGACAGGCCTTAATGGACTCTGCAGATGGTTGGCATAGAAACTAAGAAGGCCGCCTACCGCAGCGGCCAGGCTTCTCTCCAGGCTTATTTTTAGCTCCCGCTCTGTGTAAATTCGCTTCTCTGGTAACACTTTAGGCTCTCTGCGAAATATTTACAAGCTGGGTTCCCCTCCGGTGTTTCCTCGGAGGCCCACGGACCTCCTCACGCTCAGGCTCCCGGGCCTGCCAGATGGGTACCAGACGGCGCAGATAGGGAGGCACAAGCAAGGAGCCAAAAGAGCCGTCAGTCCCGCAGAATATGTCATGTACTTGTCTTCGTGCACAGTCCGCCTTTCTCATGGAGATTCAAGGCGGAGGACACAGTTTTAGAGAAGCCGTCAGAGCAGTGTGATGCATACAGCCACCAATATGATAAAACAGGGCTGCAGAATGGGAGAGCAGCGCGCCGGAACAATATCCCGTTTGGGGTTTGCTTCATGGGCAAGGGAGGACTTCCGCCATTTAAAGAGCCACTCTCCTGCTGTGTGTAAGTTAGAAATGTTGATTCAGAAACACTTGGGCTCTACTGGTAGCAGGAGCTCCTTTGCATATTAGGCCACACACCCCTAGTGTAGCCAATCCTCCAAGAGCTTACAGAGCTCTTCTTACTGGGGCTACTGTAAGCTCTTGGAGGATTGGCTACACTAGCGGTGTGTGGCCTAATATGCAAAAGAGCTCCTGCTACCCTTCAGTAGCCCCCGTTCACAAGTTAAAGTGAATGCACGTGTACGGTCCGTGAGTGCATTGAGTAATTCACCAGACATACAGCAGAAGAGGTGATTGAGACGGCACATTTCTTCCAGGTACTGCTTTCATTCGAATACCCGTTGGCCAGCTGCTTTTCCACCCAGTCCATGGTCTCCCAAGGTGGCGATTTGAGCATTTGAGACATCCAAGCATTTGAGACATTAAAAAAGCATTGAAAACACAAATGTATATAACATAGTTAAAACAATAAAAAAACAGGGCTATTTTTGGGCAGGAACGCGCAGGAATGGAGTTCCAGCTGGCTCCCGAGTTGGCCACACCCAGCAGGAACTCATTAGCATAATAGGCCACACCCAACAGCAGGAACTCATTCGGATTGGCTACATTAGGGGTGTGTGGCCTAACATGCAAAGGAGTTCCTGCTACCAAAAAAGCCCTGGGCTTTGACAACAAACACGGTAAACAGAATAAGAAGCAAAAGGTGGGTGTGGCTGGATGAGCACACTTCTGGTAACACGGGGTGTGTGGCTTAATATGCTAATGAGCTGTATTGTCGTGGGTATGGCCTAATATGCTAATGTGTTTCTGCTGTTGGGTGTGGTCTGTTATGCTAATGAGTTCCTGCTGGGCTTTTTCTACAAAAAAAGCCCTGATAAAAAACATAATCTAAATTCAGAAGTGGAGCACAGGGGGCAAGGCCTCTCGGCCCCCCCCCCCGTCTCCTAGGCAACCCTTGAACATGCAGGAGAATTTGGGGCTTCAGCACTGCTGAGTAGCAGCAACAGGAGCTGAGCTCCTGCCTTCCACCTCTGGCTTCCAGGCACATTTAAATCCTATTATGTCGGTCTTGAAAGAAAAGACATGAGTGAGTGGATTGCAGGGTGGGGCTTACATTGTCTGTGTGGGCCCACAAATGCTTTTGGGGTTAAGCAAATGTCAAGCCACAGCCCTGTGGCCCTGGCAGAGGGTTATAGCCTCTCTCCTGCTCGGCGGAACTCTTTTATTTTAGGTTAAATGCTTAAGATCACGGTGGATTTAATTACCCTTTAGCCATTCTCTAATTGCTGTGCTACCTGGCGTGGGTCAAAGAGGAGTCAGAGAACAGACGATTGTTTCAGGGCATATTTGGAGTGGGATAGGACAGAGGGTGGGATGCTAGTCTGCAGCGGGGAATAGTGAGCAGGGAGTTGCAGGTTTGCCCCTGGGTTGGTCATATGGTTGCCAATCTCCAGGTAGCGCCTGGAGATCTCCCACGGTTACAATTGATCTCCAGGCAAACGAGATCAGTTCCCCTGGAGGAAATGGCTGCTTTGGAGGGTGGGTTCTGTGGCACATTATACCCTGCTGACGTCCTCCCTCTCCCCGAACCCCACCAGCCCTAGACTACGCCCCCCAAACCAAATTTCCCAACCTGGAGTTGAGAGCCCTATGTATGTTTCTGGCCTTCGTGGCTGAGAAGACTATTGTTATGTAGCTGGTCTCTTACAAAGAAGTGTCACCACAAGGCATTCCTAACAGAACAACTGTTTGTATTTATTCAGCCGTCTTGAATATTACCTTCTACAAGAGAGTGTCACCCCCTCTGGTCTACCAACAAGCTACACTTCTGGTCGATTCTGTACATTACATTCCCCTTCTTTTGAATAATTGCAGTTGAATTGACATCTGAAATAAAAGATGTCCTTTTACGGACTTAATGTTACATGATCTTTCCAAATCTTTGGCTTTATTTCTCAGTCGTATCTAGAAAACCTGACTTTTGTCTGTTTACTGGTCTGAGTCAGGTGGTTCCTGTTTTGTTTCCTGCGCATCTTTATTTTCCATGGTTGTGTGAGTGTCTTTCCCCCTGTTTTCTGCTTCTTTTGGTGTATTTGTGAACTCAGATGACTTCTGTAGTTTGAGGTGTGGTTCTTGAAATTTGCACCTGTTTTTTGCTGTGCTGTTTTTACGTATCTCGGTTGCTTTCTGTTTCTCCCGTATTCCTCTCCTGTGTGCGTCTGCACCACACACAGTGCAGCCACCACTTTTGCTGGTTCCCAGTGCCCATCACTTCGTCGTACTCTTACTGACTCTCCTTCTTTCAGAGGTTTTAGTAACTTGGTGCCTCAATCATAATACATTTTCTGCTTGAACTCAGCATTGGTGTTGCTTTTTCTAATTATTTCAGCATGCGGGATTTTTGGTAGTTGTCTGTTGGTGTTTGGAAGACCGGAGTTCAGGCACCTACTCATAAGAGAGTTGTGCTGGTGAGGCATCTCCCTCTGTTGGTGTGTTTCTGTAATTCAGCAACTGTAGGTATATACCTTGATCAGTCTGTTTGGCTTTTTTTCCATTAAGCTCTCCACAGTTTGCACCTGCTTTTCTGCTAGTCCAGTTGACTGCGCGTAGTCGGGGATGCACACATGTGTTTAAACACCACTTCTTAGCAAAGGCTTCATACTCCAGTGATGCATCCTGTACTTCATTATCCAACACCAATTCCTCGCACATTCCATGCCTTGCTAAAATGAACTTTAAAGACTACAGTGTCAGGTAACCAGATAACTTCTGGATCCCTGCTGTAGTAGTCCACCACAAGCAAGTCTCGGGTGAACACGTCCATCCCGTTGGCTGCCATGACCTGCTTGGTGTTGCATCATCAGTTCTTTTGTGGCCCCGGTCACACGGGCCGGATATCGCCGGGGGGGAGGCGTGGCTAATTGCCCCGGCTCAGTTTGATCCACGATTACGTGATCAGACGCGCCAGCAGCACACCACGGGTCCGTCCCTCGGTGCCGGCGGGTAAACGAGGGTGGCGATCACACGACGATCCTGCAGCATGGCAAAGAAGCGGCGCGGCGCGATCTCACCAGCAATGGCTAGGCACCGCTGCCGTGACAAACTGGATCATTATTTTTTTTTTAAAGCCGAAACGGCACTTTCGCTTTCCTCTTTGTCCATGTCCATGCTCTTTGGAGGGTACCTTGTTGCAGTGATTTTTGGATGACAGTCTGCTCTCCTCGCAATATAAGATCCTTGTGAATTGTCAGTTCCTCCTTGACATTCCAGAAATCTTTTATTTCCAGGTACACTTGCGGCTTCATTTTGGGCCATCTTCTCCTTATCACCCCCATTAATTTCTGCATTGTCTCCTCTTTCTTTCTTGCTTGCTTTATTTATTCCAGTTTCTTCTCAGTGGCTAGATAATTCTTTAAGATCATATGAACCTGTTCCTCCTGGTCTTCTTTCTGTTTGGTATTTGTGCCTAGTAGAAATACTCTGGAAATGTGCTGCTACAGGTATTTTCTTCCCTGATTTGTATGTGATTCTCGGGTCATATTTTTTTAAAATGCAGACTCATTCTTTGCAGCCTAGCTGGTATCTCAGCTAGAATTTTTTTCATTGTGTGTTCCAGGGGTTCTGCCATAGATGTATTGATAGAACCTTTCCTCATACGGAAAGTGTTCCAACCCCTTTTATCATTCGAGTTGCCCTTTTCTGCACTTTTTCCAAAGCTATAATATCCTTTTTAAGGTGTGGTGACCAGAACTGCACACAGTATTCCAAATGAGGTCACACCATTGATTTATATAGGGGCATTATGATATTGGCTGATCTGTTTTCAATACCCTTCCTAATAATCCCCAGCATAGCATTGGCCTTCTTTATTGCAGTCACACACTGTCTCGACATTTTCAGTGAGTTATCCACTACAACTCCAAGATCTCTCTCTTGATCAGTCTCTGCCAGTTCAGACCCCATCAATGTGTATTTATATTTAGGATTTTTAGCTCCAATGTGCATCACCTTGCACTTGGCCACATTGAACCCCATTTGCCATGTTGACACCCACTCGCCCATCCTTGACAGATCCCCTTGGAGTGCCTCACAATCCTCACTGGTTTTCACCACCCTGAACAACTTTGTATCATCCGCAAATTTAGCCACTTCACTGCTTACTCCCATCTCCAAATCATTAATGAACAAGTTAAAAAGCAGTGGACCAAGTACTGATCCCTGCGGTACCCCACTGCTTACCACCCTCCACTGAGAAAATTGCCCACCTACACTCACTCTCTGTTTTCTATGAACTAGCCAGTTTTTGATCCATAAAAGAACTTGTCCTTCTATCCCATGATTTTTGAGCTTACTTAGGAGCCTTTGATGAGGAACTTTATCAAAAGCTTTCTGGAAGTCAAGGTAAATAATATCTATTGGATCCCCCTTGTCCACATGTTTGTTCACCCCCTCAAAGAACACTAACAGGTTAGTGAGACAAGATCTTCCCTTACAGAAACCGTGCTGAGTCTGCCTCAATAGGTTTTGTTCATCTATGTGCCTACTAATTCTTTCCTTAATAATGGTTTCCACCAATTTACCCGGTATCGACGTCAGACTGACTGGCCTGTAATTTCCCGGATCTCCTCTGGAACCCTTTTTAAAGATGGGAGTGACATTAGCTACCTTCCAATCCTCAGGAATGGAGGCAGATTTTAAGGAAAGATTACATATCTTTGTCAGGAGATCTACAAGTTCACATTTGAGTTCTTTCAGAACTCTCGGATGTATGCCATCTGGGCCTGGTGATTTTTCAGTTTTTAAGTTGTCTATCAGTTTTAGGACCTCCTCTCTCATCACCTCAATCTGACTCAGGTCTTCCAACACCCCTCCTGAAATCAGTGGTTCTGGAGTGGGCAAGCACTTCTCATCTTCCACAGTGAAGACGGAGGCAAAAAATGCATTTAGCTTCTCAGCCATTTCCCTATCATCCTTCAATACTCCTTTTACCCCTTGGTCGTCCAAGGGCCCCACTGCCTCCCTGGCTGGTTTCCTGTTTCTAATGTATTTGAAGAAAGTTTTATTGTTGGTTTTTACGTTTTTTGCTATATGCTCCTCATATTCCCTTTTTGCCTGCCTGACCTCAGACTTGCATTTTATTTGCCATAGCCTGTGTTCCGTTTTATCAGCCTCACTGTGACTAGCTTTCCACTGCTTAAAGGAATTCTTTTTACTTTTTACAGCCTCCATTACTCTGTTTGTTAACCATGCAGGCTTTTTCCTATACCTGTTTGTGCCTTTCCTAACCTGCGGAATATATATTTTTTGAGCTTCTAGGATCGTAGTTTTAAATAGATCCCAAGCTTCCCCAATTGTTTTGACCCTTTCTACTTTTCCTTTCAGTTTCCTCCCCACGTGTCCCCTCATATCAGAGAAATTACCCCTTTTAAAGTTAAAAATGGTTGTGTGAGTCTTTTTGGCCAATTCTCTATTTGTACAAATGATGAACTCAACAACATTATGATCACTGTTTCCAAGCGGTGCAATCACTTTTACATCTCTCACCAGGTCTTGAGTGTTACTTAGGACCAAATCAAGGATCGCCTCTCCCCTGGTAGGTTCCGTGACCATCTGCTCCATAGCACAGTCATTTAGAGTGTCTAGAAACTCAATCTCTTTTTCCCGACTAGAACACATATTGACCCAATCAATGTGTGGGTAGTTAAAATCACCTATTATTACACAGTGTTTTTGTCTAGTTGCTATCTTTAAGGCATTCATCATTTTATAATCCTCCTCTATCTTTTGATCTGGTGGGCGATAACAAACTCCCAGTGTTAAGTTTCCTTTTGGCCCCCCTATTTCAACCCATAGAACTTCCAGAAGCGAATCCAATTCACTTAGCCTCTCAATCTTTCTAGACTTTATACCCTCTCTGGGAAAACCATAGAGTTTTTCCTCGGATGACCGTGGCCCCGCCCCCAGTGTGCCCGGAGTGGTCGTGTCACTTCTGGGTGACGTGCACGTCGGGGTGGGGTCCCCCCCGGGGACTTGGCAAGCCTAATTCTTAGGATTGCAGTGTTAGAATTTTAGTCGTGGCTCAGATTAAAATTGCGTTGAGCCACTTTGGCCATTTTAATCTGAAATATTTCAGCTCCTACAGCCTCTGTCACCAGGGAAATACCTGGAGAATTTGGGGGTGGAGGCTCGGGATGTCGGGGTTTGGGGAGTGGGAGGGACCTCAGTAGAGGCCACCATCGGAAGCAGCCGTTTTTGCCGGGGAAACTAACCTGCGTTGTCTCGAGACCAACTGTCATCCCAGGAGATCTCCAGCATCCACCTGGAGATTGGCAACCCCAATTAGCACCCATTCAGTCTGTGGTGGGAGATGGCCGTCGAGTGCCATCTCCTTTTCATGGCTTCAGCTTGGCGGTGGGTGGGGAGAAGAGAGTGGTTCCTTTTCGTGCCACTGCTGTAAGCAAAGCAAACTGTGAGTCTCCAGACATTTTCCTTTTGAGGGGCGTTCAAATGAGGGTTTTAGTATTGCACACTTCCCTGACTGACTGCTGATTTCCCCCCCTGGCCTTTCAGATCAGATAAAACCCTCCAGGACATCGTGTACAAGCTGGTGCCTGGACTTTTCAAAGGTACGAGGGTGGAGGTGGGCGCTATTTTTTATTAAAGGGCCCATGGAAGAAGAGGGGCCCTTGCTGAAAAGGAATCGGCGCTCACTTCTTTTCTTTGGCAGATGAAATGAAGAGACGGCGGGACTTCTATGCCGCGTATCCCATGACGGAGGGTAGGTGGCTCACCTTGGGGGCGGGGGGCTTTTCCCACTGCTTGGCAGTACTGCATATTTTTTTAAAGTCTGATTTTCATGTTCTGTTCCCCCTGCTCCTTCCTGACTTGCCTAGTTCCAAATGGATCAAATGAAGACCGAGGAGAAGTTTCGGAGCAAGAGAAGGGGAACCTGACAGATGATGAAATCGTTAGCTTATCCATAGAGTTCTATGAAGGAATCAGGTAATTCAGGGGCAGATGAAAGGAACGAAATCAATTTTGACTCGATCGATGTTCCATCATCTGCTTCGGCATTTTTTAAATAGTAAAATGCTGTAATGTCACTTGATTTGTTTTCTTGCAACATATGCATTTTTGGTTGTCCTCTTGAACATTCATTTTGGAAAAGCAGCAAATGACATATATAGGCCCCGGTCACACGGGCAGGATATCGGGGGGGGGAGGCGTGGCTGTTTGCCCCGGAGCGAACTACCGCGTGGCAGCCGGATCAAACGTCCCGCCTGACGTCCCGCCGACGTCCTGTGGTTGGGGGGAGGTGCCGATCATACCTCACTCCTGCGGCGCGGCAAAGAAGTGGTGCCGCGGGGGTTGTGTTGTTTTTTTTAATCCAAGTGTTCGCATGCGCCGTTGGGTGCTTGTGCGCACCCGTGAAGACTTGACCAAAAAAACAACTTTTCACGACGGGACATGGGCGGGCG